AATCAATTTACATGCATAACATTTTCCCTGATTCAATCTAAATCTCGTGGTAAGGACTTTAAATTACATTTCTGCTTTTAATTGTGCTATAAAATTAAACTGAATTTTGAATTAAACTGGACTGGCCTTTTTTCAGCTTTAAAAACAGCTAGAGATCTGAGTAAAAATTACACCAAAATACATTTCTATGCCTTAGTAAAAAAAAAAAAAAATAAATAATAACTTGCTAAAGATAGGTTGTAGCAGTATGATGAAAGGATTTTTCCTGTAGTTAGGGCAACATAAGTGATTATGCTCTAACCCAGTGGTTTCCCAACCTTGTTTCTCAAGGATCCCTGTCCTGCATGTTTTAGGTGTTTCCTTGTTGAATCACACTAGAAAAGATCAACGGGCTTCTGATTGAAGAGGAGGAGCCCTGATTTGAATCAGGTGTGCTGGAACAGAGACATATCTAAAACATGCAAGGCAGGGGTCCCTGAGGACCAGGGCTGGGAGCCACTGCGCTAACCAATGAGCTGCCAGTTCCAGCCCCTGCTCTGTACGTCTCTGTCATTGCGGTCTTGGGCAAGGCACTTCACCTACCTTACCAGCAGTTGGTCAGAGGGCCTGGTGGCTCTTACTATATGGCAGCCTCACTTCTATCAGTCTGCCTCTGGTTAGCTTTGGATATAATATAGATTAGCACAATCAGCATGTAAATGTGTGTGCCTGGGAATCAGGCATCGGTTTTTAATGGCACCTTTTTTGGTACCATGCAGATGTCATTTCAAACACTATGCTTATTCACCTGAAGCGGACAGAGATTTTGCCTCATTTTGCTAGCAGCTAGCCCATAACAGATTCTAACCATGCTTAAGTATAGAGGAGGATCCGAGGCTGTTAAAAACTTGGAAATTTGGCTAAATGCCGAAACATTTTCTGCATCATGCTTCTGAATTTCACAATCCAAACAGGATTCCTGAATAATTTCAGAATAAAATTAACCCACCAACATCAGCTAAAATGGATAGCGAAAACAAAAAGGCAAAACAGGAACGGAGAGGCTACTGGGTGTTGAAAAGGGATATTTATGTTCACAGATAATCAGTTTTGCGTGACAACTGAAGGTCAGAATATGAACTGCTTTTTCTCTTGAAGGCGATCTTTGCAGCCTGGTTGTAGCATTCAGAGTTATTAACTTTTTGCAGCACACCCGCAAGACAACTAAAGAGCAGCTGCAATCAGTGGGAGCCTGGTGTTACACTTTGTCAGGCAACTTTTAAACGGGTCACTGAATGATTATATAGGGTATTTGGTGCTGGTCCTTAAGGTCTCTGAATGGGGTGTGTAACATTGGATGGGCTGAAAATGGCATATTTGCTGTTCTATGAGCCCTAATGCAAGCCTGGTTATAAGCCCTAGAATGAAAATACAGTTTTTTTCCTTTTATGGTATGATCATGAATATTTAGATGAGCTGTGCGCTGACTGGTTGGTTTACAACGAGTGAAGGTGCTGAGCAAAGACGCATCATAGCAACAAGCACTCACTCACTGAAACATCAGTCCGGGAACCAGCAGGGTGCGTCCATTTCACCCACTGAACTATCTTTATAAATCTATGACAATGTAAACTCGGTTTTGCATTCTATGACCCCTTTAAGTCTGCTTCACAAATACCATGTACATATTAACCGCAAAAAGCGTCCGTACAAGAACCAATGCATGAAGGATTCATCCAAATATTGCCTCTTATTTTAAAATTTACCAGATCCATCTGTCACAATTAGACTCAATCCAATAGGGGAGAGCTGTCTGTTATACTGCAGTGAAAAAGTTGGTAGGAATTACCACACTAGAAAGGCTTCTATTTGTGATTCAACAGAGGGCGCACGGATGAATGAGTCTGAGTGAATTAGGGGTTAGATGTGCTCAAAACAACTAACTCAATTATTAGCTCATGAGAATAAGCTAGTGAGGCACCTAAGTCTTTACAGTACTTCATGTCCATAGGTCAAGAGACTCTATCTATATGTTTCAGGAGAGTGGCCGTTGAGTATTTAAGGTTCATAGAACTGGTCTGAAGGTTAGTGAAAAGTAGTGACGTCTGGTTTTATTATTTTTGAGCTTGTATGCATTTTTTTTATTCTTGGCATGTGATCTAATGACTAAAATATAACAAAAATTAACTGATTTTTAAATATTATTTCAGTTTCTTATGGGGAAAAAGTCAGAATTCTGACTTTAATCTGAGAATTATGACTTTAATATCAGAATTATGACTTTTTTGAGGACCCTAATGCAGAGGCTGAGAGGCAGAGGTGAATTTTTGCTATTTTTAATGAATCAGCACAAGTACAGAGGCAGGAATCCAAAATCCAAATTAAAATTTAAAACTTGACCAGAAACATGGAGACATCAGGGGAAAAGAGCATGTGGAGTCAGGGAAAAGTGAGAAGGAACGAGGTAAGACGAGAAACCAGCACAGAGGAACTGCAAAAGGAGAGTATTTATGGATGACTAAACAAAGAGAGGACTAACGAGTTGATTGGGAGCAGGTGTGAAGAAAGAAGTCTAGAAAGAAGCTAGGGAAAAGAAGACCAACACAAGAGGGTAACAGATGGCAACACATAAAAAACCTAAGAACTCAAATACATCCAGAAAACACAACAAAGTAGGAATTAAACCAATAAAACTAGAAAACATTGAGCAAAACTATACACAAAACAAAACATAACAGCACCAAGACTGTGAGTTTTTCTCAGAATTCTGACTTAAATCTCAGAATTCTGACTTTTTTTTTTTTTCAGAATTCTGACTGGATGAATTCAGGCCCTCTGCAGGTAATCCAGGTGAAATGAATTCTGGGTATTTGGGATCTATTTGTTGACACACAAGCTTTAATCCAAAGCAAGGAAATGTTAAAGCCAATTCATGTCGACTGGATTTTAAAAACAAATGACCAGCTGCTTCAAAATGGTTTGAAGGAATCATATATATTATTAAAAGCTGTTGTTGCAATCGACTGAAAACGTATACGTTCTCTAATAAAATAAAAAGTATAATTACATTACAGGTACAAGGTTACTGTGCAAACGTTAAAGAAATGGGCATATATAAGGATAACACAATCAAAATACCGAACCTATTTACAACTGTTGTCATATATACGTCCTAAAAAAGCTAGATTATACGTGACAGCGCACGTAAGAGACAATGTAGAACATAAACAGAGCATTTCATCGAGGCCTAGTGCGGAGGATGAGATTTCCACCACTTCCTGGAGGACCAACAAGCTAGCAACACCGAGCGCGCGCTGCATCCCAGAAACAAAACAGCTGGATGCTGCCTTAGCTTCGCAAAGATCTCGGGCTAAGAAAATATACGGAAGCACTTACCAGTGAGAGGTTTCCCTTATCTGTTGTGTCTGGCCCTGTCCATGGCTTCAGCAGATCTCTCCGGGCTTTCTCATGTACGTGTGGGAGACTGCGGGAGCGCGCAGGATGCAATCACATCAACTGCGGCGGCGCGCTTACATTACCATGGTAACCACTCTAGCTCTTCCTGTGCTGCTGCACCAGGGTTTGTTTACATCCACAACTTGATACCTTTCGGCAAAACTAATTGCTTCGTTTTCTTAAAATAAATAAATGGTGGGAATTAAATTTAATCTTTATGCTTTACCAAAACCGAATTTTGACAAGTAGACTAAATCATATTTGACAGATCTTTAGAAGATGTGAACACAGGATAGGTACAGAGACATACTTCATAAAATGCTTGTTACCTTTATCTTTTTCAGATAAAGAGAAAACAAGCAAACCAGTAAATTGTAAATAAAAGAAAAATAAATGCTGCATGAAAAAAAAAAAAAAAACATCTTGCAAACTTTTTTTTTAAGTGTGCCATGCTTAAACTATCAATAAGGGAAGCTTTTTATTCAATTTTAGCATGTCTTCTTCTTGTTTACAGAGCTAAGAGATGACAATGGGAAATAGAATTTGACTTTCCAGTGCAGGATTTGATTAAATATGCTAATTTATAGTATTTATAATTATCTAACTGAACAAAAGTATTGATTTAGAGAATTGGAAAAAAAAAAACACTTAATCATTATTCGTGGTGCAAGAGACATACAACAAAAACTGATAATATTATGGGCATTATTTATTTTTTTTTTTTAAATATCTGTTTCAAGAGGCTTACAAAACATAATACTTTCATTCAAGGAAAACATCAATTTATTTGATCTATATTGACAATTTCAAAAAGTATGTTTAGCACAAAAGAAGAAATGTTAACAGTTCTGAGTATCTCTATAGGAACATCATACCTACACTGAAACATAGCCATTTTTTATGGGCTTAACTTACCTCAAATGAACCTTGGCTTTTTCTAAAGATTAAAAAGCATATTGAACTTCTGACAACCTAAACAATTTGGAGCATTTTTGCAAGACAGATTGAAAGAATATTAAGTCAGCACTTCAGTGATTATAGACTTGTATCAAAGAAGAATGTGTTATGAGATAAACAATAATTAAATATGTTTTGCATTATAAAAAAGTGATCATTTCAGTATGGGTGTATTGACTTGAAAATCCACTTTACATGCATTCTTGTTGTGTGAGTTATTAAATTTAAACATAATTCTACTCAATCATCCCAACAACAAATGTACTCAGGAAGAGTGTTTTATGGGAACCCCGAACTCAATGTTTTTAGATTGAGCAAAAATATTGTTGTTTTCTTTATTCACAAAATGTACTTTTAGAGACCTGGAAGCTGGCTCTCATTTTTGGTACATGACAAGAAAAGCTAGAAACAAAACTCCTGCACCACGGAGGAAACGGGGAAAACCAGTGAACAACAGAAACGAGACAAAAACAGTCTGCTTCTGATTAAATGTCAAACTGGTGACTTAACATTTTACTTTGGCAGCTTTTTCTCCTCTTTAGCTCCTGCCCAGATCTCCATCTGAGAGTTTGGACTAATCAAAGGCACTTGTATGTAGAGGAGTGTTGGACTGAGCCAGTTCAGACCAGCCTGCTTCTCTTTCTCTCCTCTCTCTCTCCTTCTCTCTTCCCTCTCACTCTCCCGTCCTGTCCTGTCTCAGGAGCAAAAGATTTGGGAAATTCCATCAAGCTACTTTATTTTAGATTTCTGTTGGATTCAAACATGCACACTGAAGGTTTTTTTCTGTCAGTTTTGGTGCCCTCGCTTCTGATCCTGCTCTCTGCTGTTGAGGACGTGGTGTCACAGTCTGTAAGGTGAGTTTCCATATAACAGTTTGTATATTTTATTACTTTTCTTTGTGGGGGAGAGCCTGGGGTAAGAGTGAGAAAAGGAAGCACAAAGTTCTGTAGGCTTAAAAGTTTGGGGAGAGCAATGAGGATTTTTTTTCTTAAGCAAGCTTGTAAAATATACACAGTTTTCACTTTGCTCTGCTTTGTGGTGAAGTTTCTGATGTATGATTCTTTACAAGCTGTACAACGGTGCATTCCATAAAGGCAGCAAAATCCATGATTCCAGAGTGATGTGCTTCCTCTGCCTTTGTTTTTGTTGTACACTGCATGGGGGCTGTGGGGATCTTGACATAATATAGGTGACAGTTAGCTTTGTCAACAAACCCTAAGACTGAATGTCAGTTTTGCAGCTGAGTGTCATGCAGAGCATGAAGTTAATTTCTGGGGTGGAATGGAGTGGCAGAGGTGTGCTGGGTAAAGGCTCGCCAGCTGGGGCCTCTCAGAGTGGAATTTATTTTTTCTCTCTTTGCCAGGCTGGGTATTTTTTTCCAGGAGCTCTCATTTTACATACATAAGGTTTATCTTAGATTATTTTCTTCTAGATTATAGGGCAAATACTTCATTTACAGCCTGTTTGAGTGAAATATTTTGGTAATATAAAAAAGATGCTTGCTTGCAGGCTGTATTCTAATGAAAATAATTCCAGAATTTTAATGAAAAGTATCTTGGAAAAGTTAGTTCACCCTCTGAACTGTTTGTTCCATTACAACGACAAGCCTCTACATAATAGTCATACCTCTACGACAAGTACTACATAATAGTAACATGTGTGGAGAGGGGTTTGAAGAGCTTAAAAATGGTTTACGAATAAAGGTTACCAATAAGTGTTGCATGTATTTTTGTCCAGCCCCCCAGAGTTAAAACCATTTAAAGCCACTTTTCACAGTTTAAAAAAAAGACATCTTTCATGTCCTTCTTTTCTGAGCAGCTCGTGCGCCGCCAGATTGGAGAGATTACATTGGAAATTTTCCTCTTTCCACAGACCCTCTATCGGATTTATATCTGCACATTGACTTGGCCATTTAAAACATGCACATGCTTCAAAAGATGAAATCTGTGTGACAAATAGCGAAACATTTAAGGAAAAGCATCCATCCATCCATCCATCCATCCATCCATCCATCCATCCATCCATCCATCCATCCATCCATCCATCCATCCATCCATCCATCCATCCATTCATCCATCAATCCATCCATCTATCCATCCATCATGGTCATGGAGGCCTAATACCTATAGGCCTGTATTTCCTAGAACACTTAGTTGAATCTGACTTTATTCAACTTTGTTTTAATGTGGCACAACCACTAAAAAATACGCTGCTATAGACATAATTAGTTCTGATATAATAACCATCTCCGCATAATAAAAGGACCACTTCATGAGGTGGCATTGAAGTCAAACAAAACGCTGAAACTGTTCTCTTTTCATTCCTTATATAATGATAAACTTGAAGCACCATTATTAGTAATTTTGTATTAACAAGTGCCTTTGTATAGCAAAAGTGTTTTTTCATTTTTTGTTTTCATGGGTGCTGCCATCTTGGAATCCTTTGCAATATTATTCGTTATTGGGAGGTACCAAGTGAATAATGCAATGATACAAGTCCATAATGGATCTAAAACTACTGGAGTTCAAGCCATATGAATGCAAGTCAGCTTGCAATATGATGGGTAACTGTGTTTACACTCTCCTTAATGCCTGTTGTAGGCCTACATCTCTTTGGGGCTTTCTGGTTAGTTAACATTGTCCATGCTTAAGGATAGCTTATAATGCCTTTCAAAATGTTTTGGGGACATATCAGGAGGTCAATATGTGGAAATTGTTAATTTGGATGCACCAGCGTCTCACGAAGAATATAGCACATTTTAAATGAAATGGCTGAATAATTTTGTTGGACTTTAAGTGTAAATCAAGGAATTTGTTTTAATCTTATATTTTTCCTGTTACTTCTTGGAAGGGTATGTTTCCAATAAAAGAGTTGATGCAGAGATGTTGCTCAGCTCAACAAAAATGCTTTACAGAGATCAAAAGAGTTACTAATAGCATTGCATTGTTAATTTACTGGCTGATCACCTTGGTGATGTTAAAAAGAGATCTGCTTGGTTCGCTTCAATAGGTTTTATTTTAAATGATTGGTAATCTGTCAGCCTGTCAAAGCTACACTCACAGCATCAAACAAAGAGTCAAAGGTGATAAAAAATAATAAAATCAAATCAGAGGTCAAATCAAGGTTTCATTTTTTCTTAATCAACAGTTTTGTTCTGCTCTTATTATAATTTAGATTCACATGATTATATTTTATTTAAGCATAAATTGAGATATTATTGATATTTAAATTTTTTTTTCTTAATTTCTATCCAAGATCAAACTGCAAACTGGTAGCATAATGTAATCTCAACAGCAATTTTAAAATACTCATTTGTTGGAGTCCTGACAGCTACTTGAAAGACCCTTTGCTAGACTGATCTGCAGACAGCAGTACTCTGAACCCATATCCTCAGCATGCAACACTGGTATTAAACTTGCTTGGTAGAAGCATATCTTAGTGCAAAGTCGTTTCTTCACTTTGACAATTATGTGCAATACACTTTTTAAATCAAGCACTCAAACTCTTACAGAGAAGGGTGAGGTAGAAACTAAAGTTTATAATTTATTTCTATAATATTAGCTAATTTAGCAGTCCACTTGAAAGGTTTTGGCATTAGGCTCTTCCATTTAGTACCTCTTATCAAAAATGAATGTCTGCCCTGCAGCATATGCAGGGATTGGAGCAAGGCCAAAGAGAAGCAAACAGAATGATGTCGATAGCAGGCAGCAGTGGTGGCATGTATCCCACAGAGGATAAATAATTTTGTACATTAGATAAACCGTATTTTAGACGTATATATCTCTGACTATGCCTGAAGAAGATTATATACAGCAGCAGAGCAGTGGGAGTTCCTCAAAGAGTTTGCAGACTTGGTTTGAATGCAGCAATACAGACAAAGATCAGCTTTGCAAACTGAAAACTTCAATTTGCTTACATCATAATGATTATTTTCTCTGCTTAGCTCTAAACAATATCTGTTATAGCTAAGCCTTGTAAAGGAGTAAAGCCAAGCCTAAAAATTCCCCTAAAACTTGAAGTGAGTTTAAAGTGAAGCCTGTTTTGCTTTCCAATGACACATGGAAAACACACATTTTATGCTCGTTTTAGGAGAAAGGTCTGGAACATTTAAGCCGTTGATTGAATGAAAGGCATGTGCATTTGCCAAACCCATTGCCAACATAAAGAGGGAACTGCAACAAGTAATAGAACATCCAAATAAAATACAAAATGATCATTTGTTTTATTCTTGGGGGACTGCTATGTGAATATCTGTACATTGTTTATAAAGTGAGGATTATTATTAATTCCTAATATTCTTAATTTCATTTTTCAGTAATATTGCAAAAAAACACTAAAATTCTATCAAAATTATAGATAAATATAGAGGTAGATTTTGCTACATACCCTGAACCTTTGCTCTGACCTACCTTATGTTCCTTTACGGGCAAAAACATCATCAAATCAGTTTTTTTTTTTTTTTTTGGTTGTTCCTAAAATGGGGCTAAAGCATTGACAGGATCAGGCTTTTTCAGTCAGGGCTCCAAAACTTTGGAGTGCTCCACATTTTAGTATGAGACAGGGTTCTTCTTCTCTCAGCATTTAAGTTTGTTATAAAACACATGTGCTTTCCCTCGTATTTGACCCGGAGTGGAATCTTGCTTGTATCATAGTCCTCCTGTTTTCTTTTTGAATCTCCTCCTTTGATGTTGTAATGATGTTAACCTTTTTATTTTGTTATGTTAGTAATAACCTGTTGTTTTGATATGCTTTATAAATACATTTGACTTTGCATAATCCTGAAATAAACCTTTGTAATGTTGTGTTTACTACTTAAATAGATACAGGTGGGACATATATAATTTTAATGCAGTTCTCTGACCATTCAGTCCTGTCACCTGCAGAAATATTCGGATGACTTTGCATTCATTGGTTGCACAAGAAGCTGAATACAGGGAGCTGTTGAACAGTTTTATTGACTTTATTGATCACACAGTGGAGAAATTCAATTGTTTCATCGGCTCAATAGTCAAAAAAAGGTGCCTAAAGAGGAAAAGTTTAGGGGTATATACAATATATACAGTGCATCCATATATATATATATATATATATATATATATATATATATATATATATATATATATAATTTTGCAGGGTATTAAATAGGTATTTATAAAACTAGGCATTTAGATATGCAGTTCTTGTACTTGTAGTTATTACACAAGTTATTGCAGTTATAGTGTTGCGTTGAAGTCTTTCAAGTCTGATGGCAGCAGGGATGAATGACCTACAGTAGCGCTCCTTTTTAAAAACAGGGTGTATAAGTCTTTCTCTATAGGAGCTACTCAGTTCCTTTACAGTCTGGTGCAGGGGGAGATAGGTGTTTTCCATGATGGATGTCAGCTTGGAAAACAGTCACTTCCTCTATCAAATCCAAAGTGCAGCCCTGGACAGAAGTGGCCTTTCTTACCAGTTTGTTCAGTCTCTTTCGCTCTGCGCTGCCAGGGTCCCAGCAGACGACAGCATAGAGGAGGGCTGAGGCCACTAGAGAATCATAGAAGGCTTTAAGCAGGGTCCTCCTCACTCAAAAGGACATCAGCCTCCTCAGAAGAGATGGAGGCGCTTCTTGTACAGGGCCAAACCCCCACAAACTCCATCTGATCTCAAATTTCAACAAAAAAGGGAGATAAACAGGAACAAGTTTAATCTGGTTCACATCATACGAGAATAACTTCAGTTGGTGTAATAGTATACATACCTTGGTGTTCATCTAGACAACAAACTGGACTGGTGGTGCCACTGTGAAGCCATCTACAAGAAAAGACAGAGCAGACTGGACTTCCTAAGGAAGTTTATGTCCTTCTGTGTTTCCATCAAGATGCTAAGTCTTTTGCGGAGAGTGTGATCTCTTCCTCCATCATCAGCTGGGGTAATAGCATCAGAGCAAATTACCTATAAAAGCTCAGCAAGTTAATCTACAACAACTCAATGAAAAAACAAAACGTTACAGCAATACTGAGTTTCCTAAAGGGATTCATAACTTTTTTTGTTTTATTGAATTCAGTTATACTTTCAGTTCATTTAAATTTGCAAACGACTGATCTTTTGTGTTCTCCTCAGCCAGGTGGGTCAGGTGTGCAGGCTTTCCCAGGAATCATCACTGCGCCGCTGCAGGACACCTGATGGCAAAATATGCAGCGGCAGGGGCGAATGTGACTGTGGAATCTGTTTGTGTGAAGCGGCCGATCCAGGGAAGTTCTTTGGTCCTCGCTGCGAGTGCCATGACTGGGTCTGCTCTACTCATAATGGACTGATTTGCAATGGTGGGTAAGCTGTTATCCTATCCTCAGCTATTTTTAGTATTGTGTATTGCAAAAATATTCCTTATGTGAAGGTTTTTCCACATCTTGTCATTTTGTAACCATAAACTTCAATGTGTTTGTGGGTTATATGTGATAGAAGAATGGTTGACATCCTCCGGCTCTGGAGATGTAGCGGCATACGATTTTAACGGAAAATCAATTAGAAATACAGATTTTTGGCGTGTGAAAGGAACATTTGCTCTAATTTCAACCACAGAATGACACTAAGGGCACCAGTAATTTTTATATTTCTAATATTTTAACATTATAATATTTTTTAACGAGGTTAAAACCTATGTCAAATCTTCCCCAAATAGAAAGTTTATCCATTCCCTGAATTCACTAAAGAGTACATTTTTTCTTAAAAAGAAAACAAAAACAGCAAAGTAATATGCTGTAGGAAAACATTTTCCTCCCTGAAAAACTTTTATTTTGCTGGAGGTCAAAACTCCCTCCTTTGATTGTTCAGAAACCTGGGGTAGACTAGCACAAAATAGTGTATAAGTAACGGTTCAAGGGGTTAGGTACATGTAAAATGGACAGCACATATATTAACTCTGGAAGAGATATCCACAACTCAGGTACTGTGGGCTTATAGTTGTGTGCATCATAAATCTGGCCAAGCTGGTAAGAGCAAGGCATTGTTTTAAAATAAATTAAACAATGAGAAATAACAGAACAAATCAAATAAACTAATAATAGCTCAGTTAACAATTTAACTTCAACAGTCAAAAGCAGTTCTAAATAAATGGGTTTTTTAACTTTGACTTAACAGAACTCAGGCTTTTAGCACTTTTACAGTCTTCTGGGAGTTTCAGATAAGTGGAGCATAGGAACTAAATGCTGCTTCTCCATGTTTGGTTCTAGTTCTGGGTGTACAGAGTAGGTTTGAACTAGGAGAGCTGAGTGGTCAGGGAGGTTGATACACTGACAAAAAATGTGTTATTATTAAGATGCTGATCTATTCTGTGATTTATCGACAACGTAAAGACTTCAGAACCGGGCTGATGTGGTCTACTTTCAGCAGGGTTTAGGATCAGCTGCAGCTTTTAGGAAAACCTATGAAGACACTGTTGCAGTTATCAACCATACAAAAGATAAATGCATGAATGAGTTTTTCTAGATCTGGTTTTAACATTAGTACTTTAACCCTGGAAATGTTCTTCAGGTTATTGTCAGGGTTGGGTGGAAGTTGGTTGAGGACCCAAATGCAGAGAAGAGGAGGCAGAGATGAGTTCTTTCAGATTTATTTGATGTGGTAGCGACAGAAAAATAAATGCAATCAAAGACAGGCAGGGAAATCAAGAACCAAAACAATGAGACACTCAGGAGGAACATACAGGAGGAATGAACTAACGAAGAGAAACCAGCACTGAAGTCTTACAGTATATATGGCAGACATGGCTAATCAGCTGACATGGAGCAGATGTGGATAAAAGCAACTAGAAGACTGGCACAAGGGGAAACAGAGAGTAACTCAAAAAATACTGCTATTGTATATACATTATATTAATATTGCTAGAAAACAACTATAATGACAGAAAATGGGAAAGAAACCAATTACCAAGAAAACACAAAATCAAAGTGCAACTGAAAAATAAAAAAGAAACCCAAAAAGCAGTCCACAAATGGCAGAATCATGACAGCGATATGAAACTGAAATAGTAACTGCTCTTATTTGCCTCCGAAGCTTCAGGTCTGAGTCTATCATGACACCAAACTTTCGGCAACGATCAGTGATTTCCGGCTGTAGTAGCTGATGCTGTGAACTACAGTAGCTGTGGATCTCTCCATCTTTGTTCCAGAGATTATTTCCTCAGTTTTGGTTTTATTCAGTTGGAGATCATTATGGCACGTAACGATTATGGCACACATGGTAATCCGTTCTAAGCATCTAGCCAATGCTCTGATGGGTTCATCTCTTGGTATTGGGATGTAAAGCTGTCTGCATAGTTATATTATGAGATCGTTGATGTTTTTTTCTTCAGCAGGGACTTGAATCTTTGGTTGAATGGCTTGTGTAATTCTGTCAGAGGTTGTATAACACATCAAAGTTAGACTGAGGTACACCTCCTGAAGGACAACAACCATAAAAACACAGCTGAAATTCGATTATTTAGTTCAAAATGTTTATGTCTTGGATTGTAAAATCAAGAAGATTAGATAAGCGAGTGTGTAGAAAGACTTGAGAATTAAATTTTTTTTTCAAACAACCATGAGGAAGAATTTCAGTATTTTCATACAATTAAAACTGCATCCTGAACTCTTTTTTCCTTCACTCTATAACTATTTATTTCCTTATGTTAGCACATAGCATGACATCTTATAAATTGCATAAAAGTAATCTGACATGTTAAAGGGATGTGAACAATTGACAAAGCACAGTATGGAAAATACTTTAGAATGGTTGCTTTACAGATTCATATCGTCTGAATGATACTCCAAAAATCCACGTTGCTCAACATCTGTTTCTACTTGGATGTGGATTTTAGTTTGGGGTCAGTAAGTGCTGCAACAGATATCCTCAATGTGGGTCAGGTCAGAGCGGTTTGGCAGGTGTAGTCTTCAGCTGATGTTTAACATGAGCTTTGTCCAGCGGCTAGAAAGATGAAGGCATTTTTCCTGCTGTCTATAAACTTCCTTTCAAAAGAAAATTATGTCACATGTGTTTTAATGTGTAAAAATGCAAGTTTCCGTTAGGTAATTGAGGCTAAACGTGGATGGATGTCTTACTGTAAGCCAGAGAGGACCAGTATTTGACAGCTAAGATTGGCATGAAGGTGTTCTAAGACAGTCATTACTACTGTAATATGCTGATGACCTGCTATTAAACATTATGATGTTTTGGGTTTTCTTGGAAGGCACTGACTGAACTATTTTTACAAGTCATCTACAAGAATGTCCCAGTGTGTTAAGGTGAAACTGAATAGTGGTTGTTCGGACAGTGTGCAGTTTATGGTACATACATCAAAAGATTTCATGCGACAATTCAGCTGGTCAATAAAAAAATTGTGTCCCTTATTTCGAGTTCAGTCTACCTGGATTTTAAAAACGTTTCATCCCTTTTTTTTCCCTTCTTTTTTTTTGTATTCTGGACCAAGACAAAGTCATAAGGGAAACAGTATCAGCAGAGACTCCCAGACCTTCCTCTCCTAAGACACTTCTAGTTCTGCTGGGGGAAGCCTGAGGCATTTCCAGGTCAGCCAAGAACCTACAGGTGCTGGTCATAAAATTAGAATATCATGAAAAAATAGATTGATTTCAGTAATTCCATTTAAAAAGTGAAACTTGTATATTATATTCATACATTACATACAAACTCATATATTTCAGATGTTTATTTTGTTTAATTTTGATGATTACAAATGACAACAAATGAAAATCTCAAATTCATCATATCAGAAAATTAGAATATTACTGAAGACCAATAAAAACAAAGGATTTATAGAAATGTTGGCCAACTGAAAAGTATGAACATGAAAAGTATGAGCATGTACAGCACTCAGTATTTAGTTGGGCCTCCTTTGGCCTGTATTACTGCAGCAATGCGGCGTGGCATGGAGTCGATCAGTCTGTGGCACTGCTCAGGTGTTATGATAGCCCAGGTTGCTCTAATAGTGGCTTTTAGCTCTTCTGAATTGTTGGGTCTGGTGTATTGCATCTTCTTCTTCACAATACCCCATAGATTTTCTATGGGGTTAAGGTCAGGAGAGTTTGCTGGCCAATTAAGAACAGGGATACCATGGTCCTTCAACCAGGTACTGGTAGCTTTGGCACTGTGTGCAGGTGCCAAGTCCTGTTGGAAAATGAAATCTGCATCTCCAAAAAGTTGGTCAGCTGCAGGAAGCATGAAGTGCTCTAAAACTTCCTGGTATGTGGCTGCGTTGACCCTGGACCTCAGAAAACACAATGGACCAACACCAGCAGATGACATGGCACCCCAAACCATCACTGACTGTGGAAACTTTACACTGGACTTCAAGCAACGTGGATGAAGTGCCTCTCTTCTTTTCCTCCAGACTCTGGGACCTTGATTTCCAAAGGAAATGCAAAATTTACTTTCATCAGAGAACATGACTTTGGACCACTCACCAGCAGTCCAGTCCTGTTTCTCTTTAGCCCAGGCAAGACGCTTCTGACGCTGTCTGTGGTTCAAGAGTGGCTTGACACAAGGAATGCGACAGCAGAAACCCATGTCTTTCATACGTCTGTGTGTGGTGGTTCTTGAAGCACTCACTCCAGCTGCAGTCCACTCTTTGTGAATCTCCCCCACATTTTTGAAGGGGTTTTGTTTCACAATCCTCTCCAGGTGTGGTTATCTCTCTTGCTTGTACACTTTTTTCGACCACATCTTTTCCTTCCCTTCGCCTCTCTATTAATGTGCTTGGACACTGAGCTCTGTGAACAGCCAGCCTCTTTAGCGATGACCTTTTGTGTCTTGCCCTCCTTGTGCAAGGTGTCGATGGTCGTCTTTTGGACAACTGTCAAGTCAGCAGTCTTCCCCATGATTGTGTAGCCTATAGAACTAGACTGAAAGACCATTTAAAGGCTTTTGCAGGTGGTTTGAGTTAATTAGCTGATTAGAGTGTGGCACCAGGGGCCATCAATTTTGAACCTTTTCACAATATTCTAATTTTCTGATATGATGAATTTGAGATTTTCATTTGTTGTCATTTGTAATAATCAAAATTAAACAAAATAAACATCTGAAATATATGAGTTTGTATGTAATGTATGAATATAATATACAAGTTTCACTTTTTAAATGGAATTACTGAAATCAATCTACTTTTTCATGATATTCTAATTTTATGACCAGCACCTGTATACCCAGGTTACCTAGGGAATGGACTAGGACAAGAGAAATCTCATTTCAGCCACTTATCTTTGGGTTCTTGTTCTTTTGGTCATGATCCAAATTTCATGACCAAGGGTGAGAACATGGGTAAATTAAGAGCTTT